AAAAAAAAAAAGTATGACAAACCATTTATAAAAATAAAGGATAATATATTTGTAATTAAAATTAAAATTTCCACATTTTGGAGTGGGCTGAGAGAGTGTGACTGGTATTCACTAATGGGTCACAGCTGGAAACCATGATCATATTTACATTTTTTGATATGTGGGTTTTGCTTGTCTGTAATTATGACATAATAATAACTGTTGCTCATTCTGTGGGGTGGAAAAAGAACTGATGAAAAAAATCATCTTCTACTTGAAAACATATAAGCTGAGAGAAATCTTCTGCTTGCCCACAGGGACAAGAGAAAAGACGACTATAAGAAGCTTCACACAATAACTCAAACAAAACATTCTAACAATATGTACGTGCATCTACATCAGCCTCTGTTTTAATAAACGAGCCGACGTTTTCCTGACAGAAAATGAAGCAAGTGTATAATTCGTAACCCAAAATCTCTCGAACACATAAATACCAAATTATTTTACGAGACTATGATAAGAGCACAAGAGAAGATAACAAGAGGCAATCTTTAGAATGCTATCTCCTTAAACCTCAATCGTTACATGAGTGCACACAGATGGTAGATCAGGTGAGAGTAGACAGAACAATAGTCAGTTATACAAAGTTTTCAAGATTTAGTAGGAAATGTGCCCATGGGATTGGCATTCTTAATTATCCAAGGATGTTTCAAGATCTTCTCAATCGAGAGCCTTTTGGAAGAATCCTTTACAAGAAGCTGCATAAAAAGGAAAACCAATCAAAAACGAGAAATAATTCCACAACAATTAACTGTTCTTCAAGAATGTGAAAACTGAAAGTAAATAAAACAGATTATCGAATTTACGACACCTGGCTAATGAGATCTTTAGCTTCAGCGGAAATGCTAGGAGTAGAAGGAAAGCTTAAGTCAACCTTCATAATCCTACAAGGATCAAAGATCACATGTGATTAGATTCTGACTGAATATAACATGATGTGTGAAGATTTTACCTTTTAAATGTGTCGTTCTGGCTCTCGGCCTCGAATGGGGGGACACCATAAAGAAACTCGTAGCAGAGAACACCCAAAGTCCAGTTATCCACTGTATAGTCATGGGCTTTGTTCTCCACCATTTCTGGAGCTAAATAGTCCAAGGTCCCACACATAGTGTGTCTTTTGCTTCTGGATTGTACCGACCAACCAAAATCCGCAATTTTAAGCCGACCCTATAAGGTTTTACGTCAATTCCAAAGAAGTTTCGAGTTTGTATAGGCATCATAGCTTTTAATGACTCCATATTTTCAATAACCATGTAGTACAGAGGGGTCTTTAATTACAGTAATAAAGCAACTCTCTCTCTCTCTCTCTCTCTCTCTCTCTCTCTCTCTCTCTCTCTCTCTCTCTCAAGCATTTAACTGAGGTCATATGGAGTCGAAACAACAAAGGAAATTCAGGATGAAGAGATAGAACAGGCAAGTTACCCATAAGTCAGCATATCCAACATTCTTCATAAGCGCAACTTTTTATCCACCAAACAGTACAAGCAGTTGAGACATGAAATAACTGGAGTTTTAGACTTTGACCAATGAGCATTGATTACCTCATGATCAAGCAACAGATTTTCCGGCTTGATGTCTCTGTGAATCACATGCTTCTCATGACAATATGCCAGGGCTTGCGAGAGACTTGAGATGTACTGAAAAAAAAAGAAGTAATGAGATAGTATAATATTGAAAATGGTTACTTAGAAGAGCAAACAGATGAATGCAGGTCAATATACGACTTCAAACATCCACGAGCACACATAAGCAAAATTCAACATAATACAAGGAAAAAAAATTAACTCAACCCACAACAAGGAAACAAAAAAAGAACGACAGTCTTACAGTTGCAGCTCGTTTTTCCGAGAGGTTCCCCGATTTACGGAGCTCTCTGTAGAGCTCACCGCCGTGCGCGTACTCCAAGATCAGGAAAATACGCTCGGCATCATGAAACCAGCCGTACAGCCTCAGGACATTCGGGTGGCGGAGGCTCGTCTGGATCTCCATCTCCCTCCGCAGCTGGTGGTGCAATCTGTACTTCTCTATCTGCTCCTTGAATATCACCTTCAACGCCACTATATACTGGCTCTACCAACAACAATTACAGAGCGAAAAAAGAAAAAGAAAAAAGAAATTCAGCATGATACAACGTCGATTGTTACGCCTAGAATTAAAATTGGGTAACCTTTGATTACCTTAACTTCGCGGGCGAAGTACACACGGCCGAACTTCCCTTTTCCGAGGGGTTTGCCCACCTCGAAATCGGAGAACGACCATTGCTTTTTCGGGGTTTTTAGAGGTCGCTTGGGAGGTTTGGGGGGCTGCGCGGTCATCGGAGCAAATGGAATGTGGTATTTGGAGGAGACTGTTCAGTGGAATTTGGGGATTTAGGGTTTTGGGTGTGATTGAATTGAGGGGGATGGGAGGGAAACTGAAGATATTTGAAATTGTGAATGGTGGACCGGGTTGGGTACCCGTACCCGGACTACTTGTGTGGAGAATGGGCGTAGAGTCAGAGATTACCGTTGTAATGCTGGAAAATCGAAGATGGCAATTTATTTATTTATTTATTATTATTATTGTTTTTTTTTTTATCGTTTATTTATTATTATTATTGTTGTTATTATTTCCTGTGTTTATTCGATTTGACATTTATACTTCTCTGACGTGCACAAATACTCTCAATTTCAAATTAAAATGTCATACTAAAAAAGCAACTTAAACAGAAATATAACGTTTCAAAATATAAATATGCATTATTTTTTTAATTCACAAATGTATAATAAACTGACAATATGGGTAATATTATACCCTAATTAATTCTAATATATAAAAAGATGGGTACAAATTTTGATTTATGTTTCTGCATGTCACGTCGCTTCTGTTTTTGAATTGGCCCTATAAACAAACTCAGAGAGAAATTATTTCCAGAGTTTTATTTACTTTTACATGCTACCAGTTGCTATAATAACATGCCATAAATTGTGTTCTACGCGAAAGAAAAACTTGGGCAGTTGGCCGCACGCGAGCCTAGTTAGAACCGAACTCCCGGTTCCACTTTTCTAGTTCTTTCCATTTGCTTTTCTGCAAGCTGGGACGAATTACAGTCATCGCCTTTTGAAAATCTCCGTATCTCAATCCTCTTACCTGTAACAAAGCACGATTCAGAACTTTTGCTCGGATTCTAGTCAGCAAATTGCATGGCCTAACGAAAAAAAAAAGATACTGCATGAAATAAAAAAAACCTGATTGGCCTGGACTGTGAGAATGTTTGAACCAAGCTCTCTAATCGGCATCATTGCAGCTTCTTCGCACAAGGCCTGTAGGTCACTTCCAGAATATCCTGTAAAACCAACATTATGATGATGATGATGATGATGATGGTGATGATGGTGATGATGGTGAGCTTCATCAAATCTCTAGAACAATATTACATTACTAAAAAAATGGAACTGAATCAACAATCATCTCCACAAATTTCATGACTGTTGCTGCTAAAAAATGTGCAAGATTTTCCTTAAGAAATAGTAATACAGATTTCTTTGTCCGATCGACCCATAAAACATGAGCATTAAAAAAAAGGAAAAAAAAATTATAAATCTTCTTGTCGTTCTGATATTTAGATTATCACATCAAGAAAACCATTTAAAAAAATGATCATGCCTTACCATCTGTTTCTGCAACAAGCCTCTCGAGATCCCTATCTGTTTTCCAAGAACAAAAGCAATTAAATAACAGAATTATTATCTGGGATTTATGGATCGTGGAGCGAAAAGGTAATGCCCACCTGGCAAAGAAAACGCATTTCCTTTGAGCTTATGTTTCAAAAGAACTCCTCTGGCATTTCTATCTGGCAAAGGTATGTATATTCTCTTCACCTGTGCAATTTGAACACAAAAATCAAAGATGTGTACTTACTTTAAGTGACACCAGCTCTCTATCAAGCTTACAGGGCAATTTTGAAAGTTTTTTACCCAGTATATATTTCGAAGATGTATGTTTACAGCATCAGATCCAATAATCACTACTATAGAAATAATTATGCAGTGAGGATAAAGAACTAAGGAAAATCACATTTACTACAGGCGTGCCCACATAAGATCATGACTTAATCATTGGCGGAAAGACCAGTTACCATTTGCGAAATTCAAATATCTCCTATCAACAATGCTCTTGGGCAGATAGTTTTAAAGGCTAATATATAGGATGCTGATATACGAACTTCCAAAACATGCACATCAACTACATTTTTGGGAGTGGACCATACATAACAGTTTTAGAATTCATAGATCTCTTTCGAGTATTTCGTAACTAACGAATGATGATTAACCACTTAAGGAAAATTACACCAATCAGTTCATAAAGATGCACTAAAAGTCACTTAATGTGCTAACCAGTCTTCTTAGAACTGCATCATCCAATTCTTGTGGTTTATTTGTAGCACCTGAAATAATATACGAGAAGTATCAGAATAGAACCACACTGTGTACTAATGTTTAGACAATGTTACATAAGCTTGATGTCAAGAAGGCGCCCACGATTTGTTTCAGCTCCGCCATATGGTTTGAAAAGCTTACGTCAGAAAATTTAGGAAAAAAAAATGCTCAATCATAGAAGTAGCATTATTCTTCAAAGCGAAGCTAAGTATGAAATTAGAGTAATTATAACATGCTTAACATGGTGTAGTGCTTAGGTTGAAAAACTTACCAATTACAGTTATTAAATCACCAGAGCTAGATGTTACCCCATCAAACTGAACTAGAAACTCTGACTTCAACCTCCTACTTGCTTCATTCTCATTCTCCGTTCTAGTTGACATGATACTATCAATCTGTACCGCATAAACGTTTTTTAACTTATTGTATAAGCAGTCATTCACAAATCAGCTAGGAGAAACATACAAAAAACACATATGGACCCTGCAATTGACATCCACCCAGTATAATACCTCATCCATGAAAATTACAGATGGCTGCCTAGCAATGGCGACCTGGAAAAGAGTTCGAACAAGCTTTTCACCCTCTCCCACCTGACATTATAAGGGTGTCAGACATCATGCGAAAACAGAAGAAGTGGTTCGGGGAGGGGTGAGAAGGAAGAGTGACAAGACGGACCCACTTCGATGTCAGAGAAGAGGCAGAAACACTAAAAAAGGTAGCATCAGATTCTGAAGCAACCGCTTTAGCAAGAAGGGTCTTCCCTGTACCAGGCGGTCCAAAGAGAAGCAAACCTGCCAAAAATAAGTCTGACACCTTTAGCTCAAATAAATATAAATGTAGCTCAGGCTGCCTTTTAGGTAGATATATTCCGAACTTTGTTTAGTCTGATTTGTAGAATTGGAAGTGTTCAATTAATTAACAAGATATCCTTGTTCCTGATTTTAGGGAGCTAAAAAAGAGGTGTTAAAGAATAATAAGTACTTGAAACTCTCTACGTTTCACTCACATCCTTTTAAGAAAAAAGGAAGTTGAAAATTGACATCCCACCCAAACTTCACCCAACCCTCCAACGTATTCCAAGTTAATAAAGGTTTGTAATAATGATAGATATGGACTATGAAATAAATTTTGTACTATTACCTTTGGCTGGTTTTCGAAGCCCAGTAAAAAGGTCTCTTCTCTTAGTTGGCAGAATAACCATTTCCATTAATGCTTGTTTTGCCGTCTCGAGACCAGCTGCAGGAAAATTTTCATATCAATAGCAATTTTATAAAAAGAAAAGAAAAGCTCCAATGAGGAAGTGAGAGCTGCTAACCAATATCATCCCATTTAACTGAAGGGCTTTGGTCGATTATCACAGAGTTTATCATCTCAACCAGTTTAGCATCATAGCCACCACCAGTTGTTGCTATAGGCCTTGATGTCTTCGCATTATTAGCCGGACTATTCACTATAGGACCACTGCTCTGGCCTGAAGACCTTTGTACTGCCATTTTTCTTGGATGTGAAAATGTACATGAAACTGCCCCAGTTTGTGACTTAGAGGAAGTGCTCTATGAAATAAAGATTGAAATAAACGAAAAAGAATGATGAGGTAATGACCTAGTGGGAAGACTCCATTAAATGTTCCATAGTGCAAAGCAAAAACATGAAGTAACATTTGCAAAAAAAAAAAAAAAAAAAAAAAAAAAAAAAAAAAAAAAAAAAAAAAAAAAAAAGCCATGAAGGAACCTCTTCCCTCACACCTTGAAGCATAGAATAACCATGATAAATTTAATAATTTTTTCCTACTTTCATAAGCATAAAACAATTATCTGAAACTCTACCATCAAGCAAAATTACTCTAACACGGGTTATTTTGTCAAATCAAGTCTAGACACAATCCAGAGATTAAAACTTACACGTCAGTTAGAGCAGTCCATACCTTGATTTCTGGTGATATACCTAAGATAACCGACAAGGCAAGGTGGAGAATAAAAAAGAAAAAAGTTAGTTTTCTTTTGTCGCCAATAGTGTTTTCTTAAATCATAAAAAAAAAGATGCAAAAGAATGAGAACCTGTTCTCTGAGACAAAGTCTGCAGTCTCTCTGCTACTTGGCCCTGCCATTTTGATATCTTTTGACGGTAAGATTTCACCTTTTCCAGTTCACTGAAAAATAAAGTAAGTTGAAACAAAGAACTAAGTGAATATACTATATGTTGCAGAAACAGCAATTGTAACTGCTTTATAGTTCATTTTACATGAAACCCACATCACGATACTCTTACGATCATCTTCGTAATTAAATATTGTACTTTTGAAAGTTTAGTAAACTGCATGTCGCGAACGGGTTACCTAATCATGCATAACTGCTTACTCCTTCAACTGCCATTCGCCCTTTTAAGATTTAAGTAGTACCAGAAGATTCTACTTCTATGGTGATTAAAGAAACCTCGGGTACGAATTAAATCATGCAATTTAACTGTAAGCATTATACACAGAATAGTTCTCCAAGAAGCAAAAACATAGATGGCTACCTATTTTTTAAGGACACAAAGTAATTTGAAATCGACCAAAGGAGAGTAATCAAAGTCTTGCTAACTTAACATAATGCATTACGCAAATGTCCTCGGGAACCCGAAAACAATACGCTTTTGCCATTTATTCCCAATAGAAATCCGAAATGATCGCCACAGTCACAGTTCATCACTGTAACAAGCTGAACTACAAAATGACCATTGTATTATAGCACTGACGTTAAATCTTCATCTGAACAAAGAGATGCCCATACTTCGCAAGCATACATTAGAACAGGAAATCCTAATTCTCACGCATAGATAAACAGTTATACTACCTCGATGAGATGTAAGAAGGGACTGGAGTGGAAATCGCTTCCGTGAAAATTCTCTGCGCGTTCTTATAACGAGTGATGGCGTCGTCCGGCAAACCCCACTCTTCAGCTCGAACGGCCTTAGCAATTTCCTCTTTCGCCAATTCGAAGTAGCCTTTCAGCTTGTACGCAGTTCGCTCGTTCCCCGTTGAAACTCCGCCCTCGCCGTCCATGGCTCCGTTGCCAGTGGCGGTGGAGCTACTGCTCTGCTGTGACTGAACCGAATCGGAAAAGATCGAGCTGAAGTTTTCGATTATCTCTTTCAGGAAGCTCATCACTAGCACGCATCAGACCGTCCGATCAACCAAATTTTAGGTTTACGGCTAAATAAATTTCGAACAGACGATCAAATACTTACCCGTTTCGCCGGAAAATTGTGCATTTCGTTGCTTGATAATCAAGGCTCGAGTCTGAAATTCGTCGCCGTCGCCCAATTGATTTCGGTATGGCGCAGAAATCACGCGCTAATTCCAATATTGTACTCCCAGAAACATATTCCTCTTTCGTTCTTTTTTTTTTAGTTTCTTTTTCTTTCTTGTATTGGATCTATTGGTTTGGACTAGAGTTCGGGCCCGGCTAAACGATCCGAGTCTTAATTTAAACGGGCTACTAAGCCTAACGGGTTTCAGGCTAAACGGACAATAATAATAATAATAATAATAATAATAATAATAATAATAATAATAATATATCAAAAAAACATATAAATAGATTACACGACTAGTTAATAATTGCTTTCAACTGCTCTATATATATATATAACTACACTTCATATATTAACACACATTACAAACTTTTAAATGATATATTTTTTCTCAAAATAAAAAAATATTTAAATATACTTATAATTACTATTTTACTACTTATTTTGTACGGTTTGAAATTTTTCAAGATATTGTATCATACTGCTGAATTTATATCATATCACTGTGTTCTATGTGTTAGGTCTTTGTTTCATGTGTTTTCTATTACCCGGTCTTATTGGCTTAAATAATGTGGTGTAAAGTAGAATAACAAAATTTTTAATAATTATCTTTCAAAATCATAATAACCCGTTACAACTCATAGTTACATATAAAGTATAATAGTAAAACTGTAACATACAATAAATATTGTGGCATATTCCTTACATGCTACAAACATTTACACCGTTCAACTCAAGTTAAACGGGCTAGCCATAATAGGCTTCGGGCTAAACGGTCCCGGCCTAAAAAGCTCTGATTTAAAGGGGCTACCAAAAAAAGATCCTAACCTTTTTTTTTCGGATTAAACGGGTCGTTCAGTCGGGCCAAAGACCGTTTAACATCTCTAGGTAGGACTCAAGATATGTGTGGTTTTTTATTAGCGATTCAAATTTTATAAGTCCTAATTAATCAACTAAAAAGAAATGCGTAATAACTTATATATTCGAGGCTTCAAGAAGGTGAAGTATGTCACATTAATTAAATGAGTCGAGTCGAGTCGAGTCGAGTCGAGCGAGCTCACAAACAATTCATTTCTTCTAATAAATTTAATGTCGGACATTTTTCATCATAATTTAATTACATACACCAATTTATTTGCGTCGAATATTTGTGCGGTTTTGAAATATTATTAAATAGACCTGTCCTCCCTTTTTCTTTTTTCTTTTTTTCAGCTGTTGGCTGCGATGTATTCAGCCGTTGGCTGCTGTATATTCGCACTTTTGTGCCTTTGATTTATATATATATTATCGTTGGAAAAAAAAATATTATTAAATATTATTTAAGATGTCATCCTCTAAAAAATAATAGAAACAAAACTATAATATTTCATGAAAATATAATATTTCATAATATGAATATACATTTTATTAAAAAAAGTATGGCGTATTGATCCACTTAATGATTAGACCCACCTTATACAAGAATTAGTGTGAATGACCCATTAGATATTGTTCTCTAGGATTAGTAAATTAGTGTGAATTAGTCACATCTTCACACTAAACCACATTTTGGCATGTGATGTATTGTCAAGTGTTTTACATTATTAACACCAATTAAAAGAACCCACAGCAGAAAGATAGAAAAGCCTAAAGCATGAGCCAAAGCTCTGCACTCGGGTGATGGCCCCCAAAGAAGTCCTCAAGCTTAGTGAAATTCCAATTCTATCCCCACAGCCCATTCAAATTATAGTTCAGGTCCTATTTTTGTGTTTGATTAGTGGCCATGGACTCCTTCGAAACCAAAAGCTCTGCACTCGGGTTTGTCAAAATTTGAGGCCATGTTTGGAAAGTGGGATATTGAAGCAGTGAAGCCCGTCATTGATCCGGTTGGCCCGTTTGATTTCAGCGATGTTGTTGAAGCCTTTGGGTATTTGGAGGTAGGGAGAGCTTGGGGCAAAGTTGTCATTTCACCTTTTCCCCTGTCATGTCAATCAAATATGCAGCACAAAATTGAATGTTCAAGAAAGTTACTATGGATAATAGTTGTGAGCATGTGTGATGAGACTATAGCTGCTCCACAAATTCTAAAGGAAAAACACGTGAAAATAGGTTGATGTGGCATTGTCAACTTAACATCATGGAAAAAAAATGAACAAGAATCATTTAAAGTGTGATTTAAATGTACATAGAAATTAATACAGAATTCAATGTCTGTAATTGTAAATAAATATATGTCCACAGTCATTACATTGTCTCGAATCGATCATTTATTACAGTAAAACACATCATAAGAAAATACGAAACAAGTACACACAATAGCATCAATCGATCATATCAACACAAAGACAATCAATACTACGCCACTGGGACCGCCCTAAGAGGCACGGCTTTCTGCAGCGTGAGCCCAAACTTCTCCTCCATATCAAGAACTTCCGATTCTACTCCTCCTTCAATCCGCCACTCGAAACCCCCGACCAGCGTGGCAAGCATGAGATGAATCATCCTATGCGCGAGGGGCAAACCGGGACATATCCTCCTCCCGGCCCCAAACGGTATCAGCTCGAAATCCTTCCCTCTGTAGTCCACATCACGGCCCAAAAACCGCTCGGGCGAGAAGACTTCCGCATCGGGCCACACGTTGGGGTCCCGGCCGGAAGCCCAAACGTTGACCAGGACTTGGGCATCCTTAGGGACAATATAGTCAATTACCTCCACATCGGCATTGGCCTTGTGGGGGACCAAGAAAGGTCCCGGCGGATGAAGTCTAAGAGTCTCCTTAACCACGGCTTGTAAGTATGGGAGTCGAGGGATGTCCGGTTCTTGGACCGATTCTTCGTCGTTTTCGACTCCATTGATGACGTCATTTATTTCGTTTCTGAGTGTGGATAGTTTGGATGGATTGCGCAAAAGCTCCGCCATTGCCCATTCAACTGTACTTGATGAGGTGTCCGTCCCAGCTGTGAATAAGTCCTGCATTAGAGTCAAACAAATCAAGCTGTTTGAATTTTTGTCAAATTAGACCACTGACTTAAATTGTAATTAATTTCAGCATTGTTAAGAACAAATAATAATAATAATAATAATAATAATAATAATAATAATAATAATAATAATAATAATAATAATAATTAATTAAAAATTATACCAGTAAGAGATGCTTAATATCATCTCTGCTCAATTCACCCTTGAGATGAAGCTCAATAAGGGCCTCCAACAAGTCATCCTTGATATTATCTCCTCTACACCTCAGCTTGTCATCAATAATCCTATCAAAAATCTCAAACAGCCGACCGAAATAGTACTCCGCGTCCCTCCGGATCCCTTGTGGGTCGACCCGTTTCAGAACCGGGAAGAAATCCGCCAAATTCGGCCTCCCCACTGCCCGCATCACCCCCCAGACAACATCCCGGATCTCACGCGACGAGCCCGACCCGAACCCGACAAACTCCTCGGAAAACAGGGTCGCCGACATCAGGTTCAGGGCCGTCGTGAACGCGGCCTCCCCCACGTCCACGGCCCGGCCTGAATCACGGCACGACTTCACATACCCACGTAGCTGGCCCAGCTTCTCCCTCCTCGGGCCCTGGCCCGAATCGAGCCGTGGACCCGAGAACATCTGCTCCCGGCATATCTTGCGGAGCTTGCGCCACTGCTCGTCCACCGGATGCCACACCATGGAGAACACGTCGTGACCAAGGGTTTCACCGCCGACCGGGATTTTCCGGCTGGAAAATGCGAGGTCGTGTTTCTGGAGCACGGATCGGGCGGCTTTCGGCGAGGATATGACGATCGTTGTTATGGTTCCGAGCTTGAGGGACATCACGGGCCCGTACTCTCGGGAGAGCTTGGCGAGTGATTGGTGGGGTTTCGGGCCGAGGAGAAGGATGTTGCCGATTATCGGGAGGGGAAACGGGCCGGGAGGGAGGTTTGAGGGCTTTCGGGCCCTGGAGTTTAGGATGATGAGGGTGAAAATCCAGGTGATGGAGATTAGAAGGAGAAGTGGTGAGAGATAATCCTTGAGGACCATGACTAGTGATTGGGACATTTGTTTCTTTATCTCTCTCAGTTTTTTTAGTTTTTCTTTTTTCAGGAATGGTTTTTCATTTGAGTTTGAATGAATATATAATTTTTTTTCGTTACCAAACTATTTTGTATTTCTGTACTTAAAGAACGAATAAAATGCATGAAATATTAGATGGCAGAAGAAAATGAGATCGGTGGTGTTAGATTTATTGCTCTTGTTTAAGTAAGACAAGATGAGATTACACCATTTATATGGGCTAAATTCTTTGTTTGGTAACCTAGATTACGGCCCGTCCGTTTTCCCTCGGCTCGCGATCAAATCTGCATTAATCAGGATGTGCGGCGATTAAATGATCTTGGGGTGGGGTAAGATTTAAAAAATCTGAACAGTACTGTTTGTGGCAAATGAATTTAATAACCCCAGATATTTCAATTTCAAACTGATAGGTCGAAAATTGTGCATGTTTTATATATTTAATAGTGTAATTTTGTACACTAAATTTATTCGCACGTTTATATTTTTCGACTTATTTATTATTTGGATGGATTCAT